TTAGGGTTAAACACACCATTTAGGGTTAGGGTTTAGTGTTAGTGTTAGGATTAGACATGCTATTTTGGGTTCGGGTTATGGCAGGATTTATGGTTAGGATTAGGATTTAGGGTTAGGGTTTAGCTGAGTTAGTGTTAGCATTAGTGTTAGGATTTCAGGCTAGGATTAGGAAGGGTTAGGGCTAAACATACCACGTACGGTTAGGGTTAGGTTTAAGTTTAGGGTTGGAGTTAGCATGAGAATTTAGTTTAGGGTTAGTGTTAACCATGCCATTTAGGGTTAAGATTTAGGGTTAAATTTTAGGATTATGATTTAGGGTTAGGGTTAGGTTTATGGTAGGAATAGGGTTTAGATTTTGGTTTCAGTTTTAGGGGTTAGGGTTAAGCAAGCCATTTAGGGGTATGGTTTCGGATTAAGGTCAGGGTTAAATATGCCGATTAGGGTTAGGATTTTGGTTTAGGATTTGTGTTAGGATTAAGTTTGTGGGTTAGAGTTTTGAGTTAGTCTTAGGCTTGTGGTTTAGGGTTAGGTTTTTGTGTTAGGATTAGGGTTAGAGTTGGCTTTAATGTTAGACTTTATGGTCAGTGTTAGGGTTAAACATGCCATTTAGGGTTAGCGCTTAGGGTTAGGGTTAGTTCTTCTCTTGCTTATTCAACCGGTTACATCCTTCCTAGCAACTACTGCCTGTCTTTACAAAACTACCTCTAGTTATTTATGCTTGTCTTGCATTTGCCTAGCACTGGCACGAGCATATGGCTCGTGAATTGAGTCTGGTATAAGGATCAACACTGACATTGCCTCTTTTTGGTTCCAAATCCCGTGGCTTTCTGTGTTGCAGTGAGACAAACTCCCCACTGAATAGCCGCAGATTTGGCCTGTGCTTGTGGGCTTTGGAGGTAGAAGGACAGCAGGACTTTCTAGTAGGGTTGACATCCAGTAGAGGTGGCCCCCAGGAGAGTTAGTCTGTCTACACAAAACTGTTCTTAGGTTGGCGACTGCCAAATAAGGACTGTTTAGACGTAACCTCTGTAGGCTGCATAAATGGACTGAGAAGCAGCATCAAGGGGCATAAGGTGAGGAGATATTGGACTTGCAAAGTGGGATCAAAACTCAACTTTGGGCTCAGGTTGATTTTGTTTTGAGTACAGGCCTGGAGGACTTTGATACATCTAGCTACCATGGTAGCTAAAGTCAGCACATGAAGCTGTAATATTAATAAACAACAAGAATGCCACAAATGTCCAGAAATGGCATAACCAATGTGCTTCTTAATCTAGGTTTGCTGAACCTAGGCCTGTGGCGGGACACCTTCCAAATCAAAAGCTATTTTATACACTTTGGAACTCCTAATATATATTTTCCCCTCATTTTTTTTTCTTTTGTCTCTGCAGACATGCATCTTAGAAGCTTATATTAATGAGCTTTCCTAGAAAAAATGAAGAAAAAAAAACAAAAACAAAACAAACAAACAAAAAAACAAAACAAAAACAAAACAACCCACAAAGATTAAACATTCACCTTGCTGGTATATATCTTTTCTATCCTGTCTTTCTCTATCCTGCCCACTCAGTCATACATACTCTCAACCTTTTAATTTAATTTCCTTGCAATTGGCCTACAGTAATGTTTAAAGATGGTACAATGTTAAAGGTTTTGTTCTTTCAGTAGAATCAAGAGAAGGAAAAGGTGCAAGTTCACCACTACTGGATCTCAGAGAACCCACAGGAAACTGAGATTCTTTATTTCTGCTGCTCACAGAAATCTGTAGGCATTTTTTTTTTGCCAAGTATTTGTTGATTGTGGTAGATCATTCCTAAAGGTATGGGAGATGACAATTCAATTCAGTTTTAAAGATAATAGTATATCGATGTGACATTTGGAAATAGAAGGAAAAGGTTTAGGGAAGAACAAAAAAGGAGTTAATACTGTTTCCTCAGAGGCCTGCAAAATCCAGAAAATTAATAATTTAGACTAGAGTTTTTAAACAGACAGAATGAGACCATGTAGCTACACTCCTTAATCTGATCTTTCAAGGTTCTTTTAATCATCCTATGAAATAATATGAAAATTCTTATTTTAGCTTCTTTCAGAGTTTCCAAGTTCTTGTCAAACCAAGTCAATGCAGGCACTAAAGGACATCTCTTACAGAAATTCATGTCTGAGAGGCAGTTCCTGCAAAGTGAGTGCTGCTTCTGCACAAAGCCTGGTTTGTCTCTAGCTCAGCCTAGTGAGGAAACTGGAAGAAAATAACTTGATTATAGTATAAAGAAGTAACCCTAAAGAGTAAACCACAAATTAAGATATAAAAAGCTTTAAAAAGCACGAATTACAAGCCAGCTAGTGACACTTTCCTTTTTAAACTCCATCCAGCATGATGGTGGTAGTTCCTTTCCTTGTCATCTGTAAGTAGTGGCATGAATAATGCCACTAACACAGGATTCCTTGTTGTCTTTTCATACTCTTCTGGTCTAGCAGTACATGTTGGGGGTGAGATTTTTTACCAAGACAGCTGTGCTGAAAAAGCAACAGATTAAAAGCAGTAATATTACATTTTTACAAGCAAAATGTGTTTCATTTCTCAGAGTCACCACCAGAGCAAGGCGCAGGTTGAGCTGTACGGCTGCATCTGATGCACAAGTGCTTATCACATGTTATGTAACAACCTTTTGTAGCAATATCCTGCCTCGACTTAAAGGTGTGCCCTTGGCCCTTTAGGAGACTGGACTCTGAACTCTAGTTTGAATTTTATAATGCACCTTTAAAGGGTGCTTCGGTCTGGTTCTTAGCATATAGTGTACAAGTAATGGTCGTAATAACTGGGGCCAAGTCTACCTGGAGGCCTGTGGCCAGTGGTGTCCCCCAGGGATCAGTACTGGGCCCAGTGCTCTTTAACTTGTTCATCAGTGACTTGGGTGAGGGCACAGAGTGCACCCTCAGCAAGCTTGCAGATGACACCAAACTGGGTGGAGTGGCCGACACGTCCGAGGACTGTGCTGCCACTCAGAGAGACCTAGACAGGATGAGCAGAGAGGAACCTCATGAGGTTCCTCAAGGAGGCAACAAGTGCAGGATCCTGCACCTGGGGAGGAATAACCCCAGGCACCAGTGCTCAGCTCTCATGAGGCCAATGGATACCTGGAGTATTGGGTGCAGTTCTGGGCTCCCCAGCACAAGAGGGACATGGAGCTTCTTGAGAGGGTGCAGCATAGAGCCACGAAGATGTTTAAGCATTTGGACTGGACTGGAGCATTTGTCATATGAGGAAAGACGGAGTAAGCTGGGCCTGTTTAGTCTGGAGAAAAGAAGACTGAGAGGAGATCTTATCCACATGTACAAATACCGGAGGGGTGAATGTAAGGAGGATGGGGCCAAGCTCATCTTGGTGGTGGCCAATGACAGGACAAGGGGTAATGGGTGTAAGTTGAAACACAGGAAGTTCCACCTCCATATGAGGAAGAACTGCTTTCCTGTGAGGGTGACCGAGCCCTGGAACAGGCTGCCCAGAGAGGTTGTGGAGTCTCCTTCGCTTGGAGATCTTCAAACCTGCCTGGATGCCACCCTGTGGCACGTGCTCTTGGTGTCCCTGCTGGAGCAGGGGGGATTGGACTAGACGGTCTCTAGAAGTCCCTTCCAACCTCAACTATTCTGTGATTCTGTGGAAACAGGAAGCCATGTGATCCAAACTCATATGGGGAAAGGCACTTCTGAGAGGCTGCTGCCATGTTTAAGATATCTTTTGGAGGCTTGAGATGATGGTGTGTCAGTGTCGCAACTTCAGCAAGATTGGGAAATTACATTTTGCTTCATTCTCAAAGTTAGTTAACATACCTTCAGTAGGACAGATAGTCATCTCATTTCTCTACCAAAGGATGTGTTTTCTTTTCTTTTTTCTTTTTCAATTTCTCCCCTTCTCTCCTTGCCATACTGCCCTCATTCTTTTTTTTTTTTTTTTTTTTTGTGTGTGTGTTTTGCTGTAAATATCGAGCTGAAGTGTATGAAGAAACTATTGCTATCCAAAGCAGTATCTGGAAAATTCCTTTCTCTTGAGGGGAAAAAAAGGACTCTCTAAAGCACAACGCAAGCTGTGATCTGTGTAGATGCACTTAGCAGCACAAGGTGAGAGGGATTGTACCACTGGACCTACAGTATGCCAGTTGCAGGGTTTTTTTCTACTTCCCTCCATGTTTCCCTATTCGCTTTCCCTTCTCATCTATGATAGTACTGAACTATGGGTAAAAATAAACTGTGAGTTTAGGGCTTGTCTATTTTCTAATGCTAATTTTATGGGGAAGTTTTTTTGTGTTTTCCTCTTTTCTCTGCTGTCTAAACAAGAAAATAAAAAGTGCATCTATACAGATCTCAGCTTGCACCCTATTTTAGAGATTTCTCATACCAAAGAAGTGGCTTATCTAAGTTTTGCTATATTGAATGCTTTCTGAAAATAATCGCAAAAAGCATAGAGTGCCACAGCTAAAATAATTCTAATTATAAATATATGAAGCTCTGTCAAAATCAAGTTAAAATCTTTTAGTAAAAGTAGTGTTGGAAATGAGGCAACAAATCACTTGAGATTTCTTTCCTTTTCAATAATAACCAGAGACTTTTTTTTTTTCTTCTTTCTTCCTCATGACTAGACTAGAGAAAGAATAGTTTTTAGGGCGAGTAACAAAAAGAAGTGTTGAAAGCCTGCAACTTCTTTACTGTGTCTGAATGAAGCAACTAACAAACAGCTTCACAGCTCTGCACAGGAAGTCTTCCCAAAGGATAAGCCATCAGAAATCAAACTGCAGTCTGGTAACCTTCCTGACTGAGTTTTTCTGCCAAGTGTCTGTAAAGAAGCAGGACACCCTGGGCACTTTGCACACTTTCCTTTCCAGGGCTGTGACTGGGAACTCTTGCAGAATTTAACTATGATAGAAAGTTGCCTTCTGCAGAGCAGCTGCTCTGTGGGGTTCTACAAAATGTTGAATTGGTGGGCACAGCTAACTGTTATCCCAAAGGCAGGAGTTAAAAATGTGTGGGGTTGCAAGGTGTCCTATTCTCACTGACTTCTTTAGAGCAGTTATAGGTGTCTGTGTATGTGTGTGCATGTGGTTTTGTTTAACTCCCAAATGCGAGTCTCCATGTTTAGGATTTAAACATCCTGTTGGAAACGTATCAGAAACAGTGCTATATTCACAGCAGCAAATAGCTGAATGACATTCCAGACAGGAAGGAATTAGCTAAAATTTGTTTTTTTCTCATTCTGAGTGTGCATGTGTTTTTTTGTGTATGAATTTGGAACTTGTTTGAGAGAGAACAGTGGGAAGGGAAGCCTCCTATTTTGGCTTTACAAAGAGCCTTTGGTGACAGCTTCTGGATATGTGTGTAGTTTTGTTTGACTTTGCACGCATGGGGCATTGAATGGAGATGGAGATGTTGGAGGCAGCTTACTGGTGGTGTTGAGGGCTGGTTGCGCACATGTCCTTGCAAATGGAGGCCAGAAGGGAAATGAGTGTAATGCAAAGTCAAAACCTAAGAGTATTTTTACACTGAGTGGGATTGTAACTTGTTAAGCTATGCTGCACTTGGAAATAGGAAGTGTGTGCATGCATGCTGTGGGATTGATATGTGTAGCTGGACAAGGCCAAATTACACTAGGTCTGTGTCACTGCACCATCCTTTGCATGGCTGTAAGCTTACAAGATGCTTGAGTCAGATCCCCTTCAGTGAAGATTTTGAGAACATTGTAATATATATATGTATTAATAGATATGTATGCTACATCTGTGTTTGTGTGCACATATACATTCATTCATATGTATATATATATATTTTTTTCCCTAATGTTTGGGCTAGTTCTTGTTTGCTTTCCTACCTGCAGTACTCGGGGCCCAGACTTTTCAAAGATTCCTGTGTAAGTAGAATTCATTTATTCAGATGCTTATTTCTTAATGTCGTTTTAACATAGTACAGGCCTCTCTTTTGCAGTGCTTTGATGAAACATTTTTTTTCTTGCATCCTGAGGATCAATTATATTGCTATGATCTTTCCTGTTTTTCTGCACTACAGCCCAACATTTGAATACTCCTTAAATTTCCTCATATTTCGTATCTAAGCCACCTGTGCATTTCTGTTTCTCCTGAAAAATCTGTCATCGGTGATTGTGAGAAACTTCTCTTGCTTGCTAAACTGGGCTACTTCTTGTCTTTAAACCACGTCAGGGGTTCTGAGCAAATAACATCAGTTGGAAAGTACCTTCTACTCTTGCACTGAGACAAAACAATGATGTGCATAAAGCTCTTGGGCTGAGCAATTATTGAAAGAATCTCACTCAGGAACCCAATTCAATTAAGAGCAATGCAGTGAATAATCTTATTCCTATTAATTTATTGCCTGGATTTCTCTTTGCTCTGTAATCAAATTCCTCTTCTAGAAAACAGTACTTCTATGGCTCCCAAGTACCGCAACGTTTACCAAACTGAGTTTGGTGAAAGCTTCTGTAGAAATGTCAAATTCTGGTTGGTGTTAATGAAAACTGTCTGTTTTATAAGTCATTAAAATGGAGAAAATGTTCTTGCAGGGACCATGACGTCTTCATCAAATGATGCCAATATGGAGGAAATACCTTTGGAAGATGATGAGCGAGACAGCATTGAATACAGGATCCTAATGGCCTATGCCCAGCGGCGGTTGTCTGCCGATAAATATGGGAAACTTCTGCAAAAGGAAGCTAATGTGCAGAAATCCTTGTCCTTAATCAGGAGAAGAGTGGAGACTGAAAATCAAGGCAATAAAGATGGGCGAAGACAGACAAAGATTTTGCATGCTGAGAGTTTGAAACACCCAAGCCAAAAGAAAAGAACACAAAGATATCTCTCAAAATATTTCTCTTCCAAAGAAAGAGAAAAACATGAAAAATCCCCCAAACCTTTAGTGCCCCAAAGTTCCACAGTGAATTTCTGTCTTTCTCCGGAACAGCTTGAGAGACCTTTAGAAATGAATCATGAGAATCTGACAGGTATTTTTTAGTTCTTTCTTTTTGCTCTGGTATATTTGTCTTTAACTATCTCTCCAAATAACTTTAACAGCTAGTAGTCTGTGGAAAGGCAGGAAGAGCAGGAAGGTTTTTTGATTGCTCGGTTGTATTTATGCTAGTTCTATTGAGTTCCAATTAGGAAGTCAGATTGGCAGATCTTCACTAGTGCTTGCACACGATACTCATAATTGTTTGTTTGTTTGTTTTCCACCGTACCACATTAAATTACATACAATTGTACAGGTTGCCTTTTCTGAGCATTTCATACCTGACTAGAAATAAATTGTAAAACTTTGGTCAGACAGAAGATTTCCACACAAAAATCAGGAAAGAGAAGCTGTATGAAAACCTGCTCAAGAGCTTTATCATAGGATACATACTCCATGTTGAAGACCAATTTGCTAGACTCAGCTTTATAATCTGTAGCACCATGCCATTGACAGCAACCAAACATAAGCACAGAGAAGCCCTGTACCTCTAAGCTGCCTTTCATAATTCTCACTGTTATTAGAGCTCAAATGGCAACAGTCTTCTGGAATTATTTTAATGATGTCCTCTATATATTACCAGTGCCTCAGAATTCCTCTCAAGTATAGTCTGTGGTTGAGGAGAGAAGGTTTAAAAAAAATACAGTGTTTGATCTGAGGCTGGTTGAGAAGGAGCAGATCTCACTTTTGAGAAAGCTGAAGAGGCACTTTCCCATAGTAAGTCTGAACCTGCCCTCCCATGTAGAGGAAGAAGAGATGGTAGGTGGCAGTTATTCATCTAAATTTAGGAATCTCATTGATGTAAATGACTTTTTGTATCCCAGTCCCCAGAGCCAGTGGTCCATCGCTGCACTTGATGAGCTTTATCTGGAGTACTGTGTCCAGTTCTGGACTTCCCAATACAAGAGGGACGTGGAGCTGCTGGAGAGAGTCCAGCACAGGACTACTAGGATGCTCAGGGGCCTGGAACATCTGCCCTACGAGGAGAGGCTGAGGGAGCTGGGCCTGTTCAGCCTGGAGAAGAGAAGGCTGAGAGGGGATCTAATCAGTGTATATAAGTACCTCCAGGGAGGGAGTGAGGAGATGGAGCTGGCCTCTTTTCAGTGGTTGCCACTGATAGAACTAGAGGAAACAGCCACAAACTGAAGCACCAAAACTTCCATGGGAATTTAAGGAAAAAATTCTTAACAGTGAGGGTGACAGAGCACTGGAACAGGTTGCCCAGAGAGGTTGTGGAGTCTCCTTCTCTAGAGATCTTCAAAACCCGCTTGGATGCAGTCCTGTGCCATGTGCTCTAGGTGACCCTGTGTGTGCAGGGGAGTTGGACTAGGTGATCTCTAGAGGTCCCTTCCAACCTCAACTATTGTATGATTCTATGATTTATCTTTTTTTTTAACTCTGGAAAATAAGTCATGCCTTAACTTCTCATAAAAGATTGAGAGTGATGATGTATTAAGCAGTTATATACAGTATATGATAGGCTACAATGGTGTTTTCATATAAATAATGGTGTTTTGTTTAATTTGTCCCAACTTGGTACTGATGGCTTAAGGACCTGATAATGTTAGACATTTCTGAGGATTATCCATCACTCATGTCTCCAGACTGAAGTCCAACCAGTTTAACTGTCCTGGACCAGTTCCTACTCACTAAACCCATAATTCTCCCTGCTGTCAAATCCAGCTATATCTCCCAAGAGAAATTCTTTGCCTCCATCTGGTGCATTTTGCTGCAGGGAAATGACTATGACTTTCCATAGTTTCATTGCCAAGGACATATGTCCGCATCCAGATATCGCATTCTATAATATCAAATTTCTTTTCCTTTTAAAAACAAAACAAAACAAAACAAAAACACCCATTTGATTTCCTTTTTATTTTGACATTGTCAAAGAAAGCTCCCAGGAGTTTTGGGCATCAATTCCGTGATGGTCCCGCCACGGTATCACCATTTGCCCTGCAGGTGGCAGCACGGGCTCAAACTAAAACCTCACCAGGCTTGGTTTAACCTCCCCGAAGCTGGTGTTTAACTTCAAATCCATGATTTACCTGCCCTTCAGCAGACTGCTGGACAAAATCCTAAAACTGTATTATTTGTGACATATATTGCTAGCAGCTGTGATGCTACTCTGCATTAAGGCTACTCTGCAAAAATGAAAATGCTTTGGGAGATTACTTGTCTAAATAGCAGAGGATTACTTGTCTAAATAGCAGGCCTAATCTGTTTCCAAAGCCATAATCATACACCATCACTAAGGGTCTGATTCCCTTCCTAGGAGTAAAGCAACTTCTGGACAAACTCTGCATGCACTTGAAGGGAAGGAAATGTCTTGGGGTTTGATTCACCAATCTTGAAATTCAGTTTTTATTGACTTTATTAACCCCTGCTGCCCTCACAACAAACTCTACTTGTGGATTTTACACCCATGTTATGGGTCAGGCTGCTGTTGAGCCTTTCTCACTGTCTGCTGGTGGTGGAGATAACTGTCACTTGATGGGGTAGATCAAATTTCACATTCCAACCTCAGGGAGGATAATTGCAAGGAAAGGTAACTCGCAGCTGACACAAACCTTGCTATAGCTCTTCCCTGTAGCTCTGTGTGCTGTAGGGTAGAGCTATACATAGCTGTATTCCCTATGTGCTGTAGCAGGTGGTCCTTTATGCTCCCCTTTTGAGGGTCCTAAACAGGCATCATTACACAAGGTGGGTAAAGCCAGCCTGGCTGAAGGGTGCTGAGTCTCCCAATATTCATGTCTATTTAACAGATGTGCCAAGCAGTGGAGAAGTGTTTGTGGTAGAGGTTCCTCTGCAGTGCAGCCTGCTACTCTGTGCTCAGGATCAACTGGTGGAAAAGGCGAGAGAAATGCAATCTTTTCTAATTCTGGGCCTAAGTGTGAACACAGGCCACTCACAAACCACTTGTGATAGCCTCAAAGATTCACTATAGAGCCATTCTCTCTAGTTTCTTTATCTATGATGTGCAAGGAGGTATGCTAGTGAGCAACACTCACACTTAATTCTGTATGGCTGCTGCATGGTTACGTGCTACTCAAAAACTAGAGAGGGGTTGTAATCTTGACTCTCTAAATTATTATCACCTGAACTTAGGCAATAGCAAAGCCCATATGTCTCTGGATATCCTCTGGGCACTGCCACCTAAGGGGATATGTAAATGGGTAAAGCTCTATTTCCTAGAAATATTAATTACCTTTTTTTTTCCTTCCCAATCAGATGAGAAGGCAAATGTCGACCACATTGCAGACAGGCTGGCCAAGCTTATTACTTCCAGATTTCAGCCATCTCCTTCAGAGGTGTCATTCAAGTTGTTTTATAATCAGAGTCCACAAAGACAAAGTAGAAGTGCTACTGATGGAAGTAAGGATGAAGAAAGTGGTAAGGATGAAGAATTTTATGTTCATAGGAAGTATATCATGTTGGTATTATCCGCTGGGGCATTTTTCTATAGAGCTGGTGAAGCAGTCATGCATTCTGGGATCAGATACTATGAAGAAACAAGTTTGCTTTTCTGAGTCTTACTCTATCACCTACGTTTCAGAGGCTGCTCTGGCTGCATAAGTCCTGTTCACTACTGCAATAAAAAGACCATCTTTAAAAATCCAAGGAAGTGTGTGACTTGAGACAAAGAACGTAGAGGTGAAGTGACTTAAGGTTACAGTGCAGTGCCAGGAGCAGCAGAGCTGGGAACAAAATAATATACTGAGCATCAAAGATCAGAGACCTGTTCCTTGGGAAATAATATCTTGGTTAAAGGCCAGTCCCTCTCTGGTGAGGGTTCAACACTGGTTAACAATTTCTTTTAAAAGTCTGAGTTGCTTGTCTTCTATAATGTCTGCAGAGGTCTCATATAAGCTTTCTATGAATTTGTGGTTAGAATATGACAAACCTGGAGACAGTTCTAGTGAGTTATGGAAAGCATAGCTGGTAATGATGGGGGGATATTTCTTCTTTATTAGAAGTTAATTTTTCTTGGGCTTCTACTAGCTGTTCTTTTACACTATCTTGTTATTGGTCATGCCCCACAGCAAAAAGGCCTAGCAAAGGGATGTTAAATCCCTCATCTTTTCCAGATTCTTAACTGCAGTAAAATGTTGGACAGATGGAGAAACAGAGCTACTTGAAACATGCAGACTTGAACAGTGAGCTTCTGCCTAAAGCCTAGACACAGAACTCCTTGTGATTTTTTCCACAAAACAGCATCTGTTTTCATGATTAGTTGACACCAAAGTTTTTGCTGTAAATTAGTATTTGGGACCTACTGGAAGGCTCTGGTGTTCATGTTGCTGTTCTTTGTTTAACAGATGAAGAAAAGATAATACAAACAATAGTTGCACTGTTAAGACAATCAGGGGATCAACTAGAAGAAAAGGTAAATACTTCTGTTTTCAGCAGGTGGACAGACTTGATATTGTGTTTGTGTGCATACATACACGTGCGCTAGAGAGGGATTAAACATTTGTTGGGAATTAATGTTTTGTAACACAGCTCTTGCTGTTTCTGTCCCGAACTTCTCTTTCCACACTTGGGTGGTTTTGAAACAGTTGCCATTTAGTCTGAAATCTTTCTTAAGACCAGAGGACTAGCACAAATAAATGTTGGAGAGTGGGGAAAGACAATAAAGAGGTTGGACAGATCCTTGTCTAGTTGCTGTTGTGTTTCATAGGGAGTTGAGCATTTGACTGAGTGTGAAAATTCAAACTGAGAATGGAAGCTCTTGGCTTGCCATTAAACTGGGAGCACAAGTTGTTCCCAATGAAAGGAGGGAAATGAGGAGTGGGATTTGTGTGTCTTCTCTTACAATCAGCACCATTATCTGTCTACCTACAGATGCTTTACTTTCCCAATGAGATGGGGAAAGCAAGTACCACAAAAGTTTAACCAATCCTTATTCTTATTTTCAGATTGAAAAGGACCAGACTTTCTATCAGTATTTGGTAAATAGGCTGTCCTATGCCTTCTTTGAGGGGCTCATTGATCTAACCCTGACGGCTGTCTCAGCAGAGTCGACAAGCGAGACAGAAGGCCAAGCACAGTGCACCAAAGCTGCCTTTGCACTGGAACTTGCCACCAGACTTACTGCTGTGGACAGCCATCCCATGAACATGATCCTGGGCTTTGGAGTAAAGTACCTCAGAGAACACTTTACACCTTGGATTCAGTACCAGGGTGGCTGGGTATGAGTATTCCTACTTTGACTTATAGGCTCTGACACCTACATTCACAAAACTAGAATGAGCCAAAGGCAAACCAAAACAAAAAAAGTGTTCTTTAACACAATGTGTGCTTATGCTGTGGAATTCTTTACTACAGGATGTTCTCTGGACTGAAAGATTTTTGTTTACATAGACCCAAAGATCAATAGGAGAAATTCATGAAAGGCTTTTTAAAAGCTAATTAAATATAAAACAATATATCTGTCCAAGGCAGCATCACCAGGAAAGTTTACTACATGCTTGCCCTAAACTTATACTTCTACGTAGCAGTCTGCTCTTAGGCAATTCTGAAGACAAGATGACATTCAGTAATTCATACTGTCTGCCCTTGTGATCTGTATGCTTCCACTTTGCCTGTACATAAAGGTATCTGTTTATCTTCTTGTTCCTTTTTCAAAGTTGGTTGTGTAAGGTGTTCTTTTCCTAGCAGTGGTCTTGAGCTGCTGCCCATTGTAGTTTATATGCCTGGATTTGTTGTGAGGCATTGTCAGTGGAGCTCCTAGTTGCTTTGTTCCTCATGAAGTGAATGAGAAACATTCAGGATCTGTAAAGTGTATGTCCATTCCAATAGATAGAATATGAGGATATTTGATGGTGTGGTCATGAAATCCTGCTAGAAAATGTACTGATTGCACATTTGAAAATATACTGAGGTTCCTCAGTGCTTCAGTAATTGCAGCTTTTCTTCCTCTGTTACAGGAGAAGGCTCTAACTTTGCTGGATCAGGAAGAAATTGAATAATCATGCAATCATTCTTCAGGGTGCATAAAGACTTCAGTGAAGGAATATGCTGGATCTTACCACGACCCAATGCGATAATGATTACTGGCTATTTATTTTTATTCCCAAGGAAGGTTGCAGTGTTTTCACTGAAATTTTACTGCAAAATGCGCTGCAGATGCCAGTGAAACTATTTATGATTTGGAAGCTGTTTTGTGCAGCGTATTTTGCGACGGAGCCACTTCTAGCCCACTTGGATGATGACTACTGTATTTCCATCTCCTGTGAATCCCCAGTCCCCAGTGGATAAAGTTTGGAACATCTACTAAAGTTGTCAAATCATAGTGTTCCTTCTTAATGATTTTCTAGTACAAACAGTTAATGTTTCCTGGAAAGGTTCTGTGCTTCTTAGTAAAATGTCCTTTCATTACAAGTACTTATTATATGTGTACAGGAAGGTCAACTACAACGACTGCACAAAAACTTATTAACAAATCGTGAATTTGAATGAAAGCAATAAAAGGCATTTGAACTGGATGTGTAAAATGTGCAACACCTTAAAAATGAGCATTTTTAGTAAACCTTAAACTCATTATGCATAACAGACTTCACCTCTGGTTTGGACATGTATGTGTGAGACAAAAGACAGAGAAGATGGAAGTGAACTAGCTTTGTTTCCTTCAAGTACTTGATATATCTCTAGACTGCAAGTCTTGCTTATCACTTTTTAAGAAGCGCATACACACTTTACAGTCACTTCAGATGTCCCCCGAAAGGAGGATGATTTGGGGAGAGCCAAGTGTTTTCCCAAAAGTACAAAAACTGCTGTGCCTCTAACACCTTTTTCAAATGGAAAGATATTGTAAAACAATGGTCATAATCCAACATATTAGCTTGTTGAAGACTATGGCAAAATTTGATGCACAGAGGTCAAGGAGAAGCAGCAGTAATTTAAAATTGAGAGGCCCTTATCCTGCTACAGGTTCACAAAATAGGAAAGGGCCTACTAGATCTTAAAGCAGTAATGATCTTTTTCCGTGTGCTGGTCTGTGACCACTCCTATTGCTGTTTTGTGAACAAGCAGGGCGTGCTACCCTTCTTTGCACTGGAAGCTGCTGGCTGCTGCTTTATTAAAAATTTGATTATTTTCTAAAACTGGCTTATAAGCTAGATCATGGCTCTGAAGAACTAGATGTGATTCCATTTTAATTACACTGAGACTGTACTTCATTTGTTGTTGGACAGCAGTTTGCGATTAGCAGAGCAGTAGCTTTTGGAAGTCCCTTTTAAAAATTTTCTTGGCTGGAATAACAGTCTGCTACTTAGCAAAGTGCAAAGTTAGTGTTTGTACGTGTGTTTTTTAAGCTGCAGGTTTAGCAGCCCTAAACCCAAACCTGTCTCTCATCTCTGGTTTGGTATATCAGGGACAGTTTCATGCCAAGAATGGAAGCAACTGGCAAATAGACTGGCTTGATAGGCAATGTGAAACCTAGGCATCTAAGAAAAGAAGCTCAGCTGTTTTTTATTTTTCCCTGCATTTCAGGGTTGTTAAAAGGGCCTTTTTTCAGTAGCAGTAGGGCCAGCATAGGAAATGAGCCAAGCGAGCTGTTTCTTATTTAGATGTTCTTGCATTTGTCGTCCACATCAGTTAGACTTTAAGAGCAATCTACTCCTTTTATGGCAGAGATCTGTAGTAACCTTTCTGCTGGAATGATGGCTTTGGTTTAATGTAAGACCAGTCAACAAAGCTGCACATCAAGTTGTTGCTTCTGCTGATGGCTGGCTGGGATTAATTAGCAAAATTCTACTATGGGCTCATCCAGCTTTTGTTTTGCTGTTCTTTTGCAATCCGTGATGACTAAACTAAAGGAATAAAAATGTGTGCATTTCATGCACCTATGGAAGTGAAGGGAATGTTGTGAAAGACCCTGACTGTCCAGGCCTTCATTTTACTTCAACATTTCTCAAGAAGTCCAGCTTTACGTTTAGTTGTAGGTCCCTCTGGTGCCATTTGGGATGTTACTGTAAAATATAGAACAATTCAGTATTCAGACAAAAGTTGTTGCTTGGAATTTTTCTTATTGTATATCTAATCAAATCAGCATCATGCTATTTGTTATAGCAGTGATTTTAATCTGAACTGATTTTAATGGAGCTGGTTTCACAGTGCATTAAGGTCACAAGAACTGAGTTTAGCCATTTGCAGATTGTGCCAGGGTTTATTTTTTAAGAACGATACAGAGATCCTCTAGGTTCCTTCTGTAGTGCAATAAAGCTAGTCAGCCCAGCAGAGTAACCCGTGTTAGGATCAGGTATCGCTGTTCTAGACCCTGAGAGCAGGGGTTCCCACTGCAAAGGAGACCTGCTTGCCCAGAGCAAGTAAGGCTTGCTGCAGTTTCTGGTGTTGTAGCTAAAGCAATCCTGCAGAAGATCCTGCCCATGTTTACCTAAAGGAGTGCAAAGCTGTCAGTTCCTGCCTCATGGCCACAGTGCCTATTGCTCCAGTGGGAAGAAGAAATGGTAGTAAGCACTCCAAGGCCTTCACCAAAAAACAAACATTTCTCTTATCTTTACTACAGCTATCACAGGGATGGGTGTCTTTTGGCTCTTGTAAAATGCTAGAAGAGGGGCATGAGCCAGGTATTTCTCCAAAAGAAGCTAGTCAGATACTTCATAGGTTCAGACAGAGGTCTTGGATCCTCTAACCATACAGCAAGCCTCAATCTTTTAAAATTTGATTTTCCTTTCTCTCCTTTCCACAAGTGAAGGGTGTGCTACCAATATAACAATGCTTCAGGAGATAGCAGATTGACAGAAAGTGAACTGCTGCAAAGCAATGAGGAGAATAACTCATCAGATACCACTGTCTGAAAGTAGATTTATTGTCTATGACTTGTCTGCTAAAAAGGCTCACAATCTGGAAGAAGTTCAGGGTTAAAAGTTCACAGCTGGCCTGTTGTAGTGGGAGTGAAGGGTGAGAAGCGAGCAGAAAACATTAACACTGATTGTCTTGCTTGTTTGTTAATCTGTGGCTGTGATGCTCTTGACAGGGATTATGTTAGCCCCAGAAGGGAAGCAGAAAAGAGCTCTGCTGCACGATCCCTGGCATGATAGGCCGTGGGGTGGGATTTGACGATCTCCTTGAGTTGGAGCTGCCAAGTTAGCACTCCATTTCATGATAGGCTTCTCCTTTTTCTCCCCCAGGGGCACTTTTGCAGACTCATGGCAAAGTTCAAATTGAGTGCTTCCCTTGGTGTAAATGAAGAGGTAGCAGTGGGCAAGACTTCTCTGATGAGGAAAAGGTTTTTCAGTACTTTCCAGTAGACTTGAAGGTAGAGGCTCACTTCACAACTTCAGGTGTGGTGTGCAAGAGATAGGCAGATGGGCAAGAACAGCACAAGCATAAAGCAACAGTCTATCTCAAAGCGAGTCTTATTAAGCATTAAATGATTATATATATACTTATTAGTAATATGGCCAGATACATGAGATGCCAAGAAAGTTCCAGAAACTTTACGGGGAGGCACAGCACTAAGATAAGTATGGAAAAGGAGAAAGGGACCCCAAATCCACAGGCATCAGAAGCTAGGGGAGGACCCATCAGTCCCTTGGGGAAGCCCGGTCAAAGAGATGGGCAGCTGACTGAACATGTCTCACATTTCTAGGTTTGGTCATTTCTGCCGTTGTTCCCATGGGCCTTTTTCAACTCCTGGCCAGTTTCATTTACCAACTCCAGTGTACTGTTTTACATACCATTTACACACAGCACTGAAATAGAAAATCTGGGTTATGTTTCTGTTCCAAATGAGGCAGCTGAGGGATCTTGGGATTTGAATCTGGCATTTCTAGCATGCCAGCTAACGGTTCGAGACACTGTAGATGCAGAGAACACTGGCACACAATGTGGGGCTTTATTTCCCCTCCCACACCTTTCCATATCACGAAACACTGTATGCAGAGGACTCCTGCTAGGCTGGGCCTGTTTGCTAGGCAGGCAAGGGCTTCCTGTGCTAAGGAGATTAGCGCTGTGCAAGCACAGAGGGCTATGCTTATGTCTATTGGTGGAACCATAGGCAAGTATGGGACTTTTTGTTGTGTTAAGCAAAACCTAAACAGAGTCTTTGTTGATATCTATGGAGCCAAAATATTCCTTATAGATGCCAGCAAAGAAAATAAATTCTTTAAGTAAATCAGAGGCGGTGATGTGAACCACACTGTGGATACATGACAGCTGAGGTGGTAAGAAATCCCACAGTCTAGCTGAGTCCTTCCAGACTCAGCAGTCATGCTGTGTCGTAAATGCAGTGAGCGCTGCTCTCTGGCTTTGTTTAGCATTAATCTTTTCCCCATGTGTGCACACACATACATACACGCATACACACAACTGGTGCTGCAGTATATGAGCCAAGTGTCTCTAGTTCCACCTTTGCATGAGACAGTTTGGGGAAAGAGCCTCCTCACAAGCACGTGGGTGAGACTTGGGTTTTCTGGGAGGTGGGGGGTGCAAGAATTGCTCCAGGCATTATCATCATTTTCATCATCAGAAACTAGGTGAGGGCAACATCATGATTGACCTTCTCTGGCAAAGCTGGAGACGGCTGTTAATAGCCACCAAGTCTAGTGCTTTGTGCTGCCAATCCCAGTGTCAAAAAGCCCTGAGTTAGCTCCCCAAACTCTCACAGGGGAAACCCTTACAGACCAAACCCCGTTTGTGGCATTGTGGGTTTTTCAAAATTTTTGTGGAGGCTGGGTGTCATATTTGCCTTCTGCTTTTTATCCTTTTGGGTAAATACAGATCACATTGTTACTTTCTCTCCAGACAAGCTTTTTAAGTGAAAGTTGAGCTCTCCATTCCTACCCTCCCCATGAGTTGGAGATGAAGGAAAATGTTGAATATCATGTGAAACCACAGCGCTTAGACTGTTGTAAACATGCTGGAGTAGTTTTAGAGATGAGATATCCTTTACAAAAGATGAATTTCATAGCAAAACCTCACTGCACCAGCAGGGTCCACCAAGAGGTGATTTTTGTGTTTTATTTTGTTTTCAGCCTGGTGCTCACAAAAGGAGATTCATCTCTTTTGCCAAGTGACTCTTTGCCACCACCTCCTTGCACAGCCCCCCCAAAGTTCTCTTCATAGAGTCCTTCCGTCAGGGCATGGAGTTTTGTTAATGGGATAAAGGCTTCCATCCGTAACAAAATATTGGGTTCCTTGAGTGATTACCAAAATATAGGACATCATACTTTTTTCCACTCTCCTTGTGGCCAGCTCTCCCAGCTGATGTGCAGGATCGCGTGCTGGGGACCTACACGGCCAGAATGGATGCCCGGACCATATGAGAACACAGGTTAAAGAAGTTTAAGAATGTCACTACCTGATATGAAACCCAGGTTTGAATTTAATTAATCTCAAAATACCTACTAGATGCCAGATCCTCCCTGTATTTTCCCTGCATGAGAGCAAAGCCAACACCCCTCAGGAGGGCTAAGAAACACATGTTCCTGAAGAAATGGTTGCTCAGCCCGAGTCTCTGCCTTTTTAGCCACGGGTTTGCCCGCTGCTAGCACCCAGGCACCTGTCCCCACCACTCTTGCAGCCTCCCCACAGGGCACAGAGGCAGCTCAGCTGAAGCAGCGAGAACGCTCCTGTGGAGGAAGGGAAACGCACTCCTAATAACAATAACAAGCGAGCAAACAATGCTGGCAAACAGCGCTGGCCGTGCACGCGCTCCGGCGAGCCTTGGCGTGAGACGATGTGTAAAAGCATTAGCGAGGAATAGGGCAGAGTTCAGCACTGAGGTCAGGGCTCTGGTTTTAATTAAGGCAAATACGCGTCAGGAAAGACAATATCCCATTATTGAGTGGGTAGTGGCTGTCATGTTAGAGGCAGTGTCTGCATTCAATTAGGGGAGGCAAATTAGCCTCTAGTGCCAAAACAAAAAAAAAAAAGAGAGAGAGAGAGCCAGTTCGATGGACCAAAATTAAATGTGAAGCAGGAAGAATTTACCCTCCCCACAAAAACGCTTGGAATATGCACTGGAAAGAAACTTCAAGAAATACATGGAAAAGCTTTGAAGGAGAGTGACTCACAATCACTTTGAAGATGAAGTTTTCTTCTTACTTTCTGCTTTTGAAAAAGGTTTTAAAATTCATAAACTGTATTTTGCTCTAACTGGAGGGGGGTGCTTGGCTTCATTTTTTTTTCTCCCCACTGCCCCACGTGATACTAAGCTACTTATCCCGTGTGCTTAGCCATGGGGTCCTTTAAGAGTGATACCCCACATTCTATATGGGCAGGGCTTTGTGTCCCTGGCAGTGAGAGTGGCAAATGAGCAGCTTCACCATAGGAGAAGACAAAGCAGGGAAATGTGTAGATATATCCCTATGGTTGCCAGGATCAGGGTCTCTCATATGGGGAGGAGAAGCAGAGAAACCTGCAAATCACTGCAATTGCCAGTGTATTGGAAATGCCTCTGCTGCTGCTAATGTCTTTCAATAGAGAGGATTGGAAGGTGTCGTATTGTTTTATCTTCCAATAGAACCTCAACGAAAACAGGCTAATAACCACTGTGGCAACAAATTTGCCCTTGGTAATATGCACTCGAGTTTTGCAGTTCAGTCATGATGATTCTATACTTAAATTATCAAGTGTCACAGCAGGAAAATAAGTCAGCTAATTACCTTACAGCCTCAGGGTCTGCGTCCCTAGAAGTCCAAGGGCTGATGAAGATAGGTACTCTTACAGGTCTTACAGCATTGAGTATTTTACTGTGGTTGTTCCCAAGATGACAAGGTTGATGAGCTGTCAGCTTCTTTGTGCATATACAGAGATGAAACAATATGTTAAAAGAATCCTGTATCTGTATTTGTTCTTGAAGAAAAAATGTAATGGGAAAAGTGGAGGTGGTTTTAATACAAAAAAAGTATTGAGATCTTCTAGGTTCACATAAAAAAATCTTAAAGATGTACAAGATGTACCAGGATTACTAATCTATTGTGTTTGGAAGAATCATTAAATATAAAACTAGCATCACAGTTGTAATGCATCAGTAACACTTCGAGGAAGAGGA